ACAACTTAAGTATCAGTTTCTGTCAAATAGGTCAGTGACATTGTTAGGGTTGCTACTAAAAGTCCACTTCCCCTTATATTCGCTATTCAGTGAGATATCGGAATATTTTGTTCTGTTTGAAAGACTAGAACAAATATTTTCTTATGATGGAATCAATTGTTCTGTGACGTCATGGCTTACTTCCGGTTTTTCCGGAAATAAACAGAAAATCAATTTTTTTTAATTTTAAAAGGAAACCCTCTTTTTTATTGTAAATTTAAATTTCTGGGATATTTTTGTATAATAATCGTGTATTGAAAATTTTCTGTCAGCTGTCAAAATGGCCGCCATATTGGATAATATTTTTTTCTAAATATGTTACTATTAATTCGTTTTTTGGAAAAACATATAGGAACGTACGAACTTTATAAAATCTTTTTAGGCTTTAAAATTCCCATCGAGACTCATTCACCTTATACCAGTGGCGTATCTAAGCATTTTTATTATCAGTAAACCGTTTAATAGTTCCATCCGCTTTTATTTTCGTTGTTAATTGAGAATTTGGAATAAAAACTTATTTGTTTAAAAGCTTGGGACAAATAATCTCATATAATGGATTTAATTGGTGTGTGACTTCATGGCTTACTTCTGTTTTATCGGAAATAACAGAAAATCTCAATTTGTTTTCAATTTTTAATTAGAAACCACCGTTTTTATTGAAAATTTGAATTTTAGGGACATTTATGGATAAGAATCATATGTTGAAAATTTTCTGTCAGCTGTCAAAATGACCATCATATTGAAAAATATTTTTTTGATATGTTACTGACAGAAAATTTTCAATACACGCTTCTTATACAAAAATGTCCCAGAAATTCAAATTTTCAATAAAAAAAAGAATTTTCATTTAAAAATAAAAAATAAATTGCTATTTTCTGTTATTTCTGGAAAACCGGAAGTAAGGCATGACGTCAATAAAATAATTAAATCCATCATAAGAAAATTCTCATTTATTTTTTCATTTTCTTTGTTTTTCAACAAATAAACATTCTAAATTTTTTCAAAATTTTGCCCCTCCTACAGAATTGTGTAACGACACCCATGATCATCACCCATGTATGGGATAAATAAGAATATGTCTCCTCTTTACCAATAAATAATAATAGAAATCATTGTCCCGAGTGAATGATTAAAAAAATACCAAAGCAATTTCATTGGAATATAACTAAAGTCTCGGCCTTATGTATTGCCGCGTTGTATATTTACATAAATAATTTTTATACATCATTTTTAATGAAATAAAAAAATAACTACTAAAAATAAAATACACATTTAAAAATAACTGCGTTGGAAAACCAGTTTTGCTAAGCCAATGTCTTGTAGAACTAAGTAAATTAAAAAGTCCAGTTTGGGTCATCTCATCACAAGACACATATTGTGTCATAATATCTACATATTTCGTTGTCAACATTGACTTCTATCTTTATCTTTATAAAAATCGCCAGCGTATAAAATGATTCGAAAAAATGTAACACTCGGTACACAACGCTAAAAAACCGTTATCGATAATAAATATCTACATTTTTGACTTATTCCAACAAGACTTGAATTTAATTTATATTATAATATACGAGGGCGAATAGATAAGAGCCATTCATCGAAATATGATTTTTATGTTCGATTGTCGATTTTAAGTAAACCAATAATTATAAAATAAATTGAATTATTATAAATTAAATTCTACAATAACTAGATATAAGTTAAATTACCATGATACCATATTTATTTACTATGTCCTATGTGTCGCGTTAGTTTGAAACTTTTAAATCTCAAAGTAGATTTTATATTTAAAAGGTAAGTGAAGTATGTCGACGTTTGGAAATATCTGCGAAACAGAAATATTTAGCAATAATCATAATTTCGGTTTTCGTGGTTTCCATAAATATTTCCCACTTTGTCTCGGATTTGCACCAAAGTTGGAAGTAGAAAAATTGGCGAACACACGTCTCACGCGCCAAAAACACTAGGAAATAGATTAGGTACTTTGTAATCAGGGCACCACCTTGAAAAGGATAACTCCTCTATTATCAGGGTATCAAGAAAATAAAATGTAAAACAAAACCTTAACAAATCAAAAAGCAAATAATTCAAAGCGTAAAAAGTGACAAAATAATTTAGAAAGTAAAGTAAAATGAAATTATTATAATGAAATTAATATGGGATTAAAATATTCCAATAGGCGCTTTAAAAATATTTTGTTTGTATTGCTGTTAATTAATTAGCTTGGAAAGAAGATTCAGCAAATTGTAAAGTGAACTACACACAACCAAACTTATATGGAATCACTGTGTAATTTCTGAATAAACTTTTTATAAGGAAAAAATTTGGTATCCCACTTTTAAGGCATTTTGTTCTAAACAAACATGATAATAAAGAAGAAACTACTGTTGCGACTTATTATCTTGTGAATTTTGTGCTCAGAAGTAAAATCACGATCCTCCAGTAATTTTATTTCGGTTCAAAAGAACAACAAAATGCCTTATATTCAAATGTGCATAAGGGTGAGAATTATTGCTCTCATTGAACAAGGAATGCCTCAATGAGACGTAGCAGAGGTAGTAGGCGATACTCAGGGTGTTGTACCGAAAACATATGAAAGGTACTTGGAACTAGAAACTCTCAAGAACGGGCCCCGACAAAGTCGTCAAAGAGTCAGAAATGAACAACAATACCGCTTTCTATGCCAAATTGCTAGAAGAAATCACAGTGTTTCTCATCTAGAGCTACGACGACAACTTCTAGAAGCTACAGGTGGAACGTTTCAATTGAAACCTTAAAAAAAACTTCGCGCTCGAGGGTTGTACAGTAGGAGAGAGTTACGGGTCTCACCGTTATCTAACAAAATATAATTGACCGGCTAAATTGGTGCCTTCAAGATCAAAACTGGAGAATTGAGACATGGCGGAGGGTGGAGGTATTAGGCTGGAAGCAAAAACTCCATAGTTACCACTTTAACAAACTTTAATCGGTCCGGGATATGTTGATTTAGTGCTAGAACCAATTGTTAGGCTTTGGAGAGCTGCAATTGGAGATAGAAGAAGAAGAAGATGAATACTTTATTGACTACTTTATGAAAAACATGTGTAGCAAGTCTAATACAATTTAGAAATTCTAAATAAATAAATAAAAAAGGTAAAATACGATATAAATGTATATAACAGAAAAATTTTAGACAAACAGAATAATACATTGATCTGAATTGAATTAATAAAACGCAGATCAGTCTAGTAACGCCATGGACTATTCAAATACCCACTGATGTCGTAAAAACAGTGCAAATGTAAATAACTTAGCTAAAAAATTTTCATTTTTTAAGTTTACTGGAGTTTTATTATACAGTTGAACATCTAATGAGTTCTTTTTCCATAATTCCAATCGAAAACGTGTCGTGGGATAGTTGTGGTAATCAGAATTTAAAAGTATAGTATCTTTTAGTTTGTGGATTTCCAAGACAGTGTGCATAATGTATATACAGGGCAATGGTAAAATATTTAGTCTCTAAAATGGCTCCCAGTTAGGATTCGTATGACTCTCTTCTGCAGCCGAAAGATTCGTATGGCATTCGATGCGTTTCCCCATAGTATTATACCATAAGTAAGATAACTGTGAAATAGGGAGTGGTAAGCCATTAAAACAGTGTCCACGTTTATACTTTTTTTTTAAATTTATAAGTAGGAATATCGACAGGTCTTCTAAGAAAGCCAGTTATGCAAGCTTGAATTTGAGCAGTAGGAGCTGCAAGGAGCGGGAGGATGTTGTCGACTAGACTATTGCCTGTATGCTTTGTTTATGTTGTTAACTAGATTACTACATTTTTGTATAACGATTGAATATTTTTGATTTATGTTACTTTGGAAAATAAAATACGTTAAAGAAAATAGGATCTAATTTTGATTTAAAAACAGACTCATCTGAACAATAATCAAATTTCTAAATGAATTTTTACACACTGTATACCAACTGCTAACATGCTGGTACATAAGAAAGCGATACAGAAAGTGTGAGGATTTCGGAGGAAGTATGTAGGATGTATGATGATTTCCGAAAATGTATGAAGGGTTTATGAGGATGTATAAAAGATTTTTGAGGATTTCCGCGGAAATATGGAGGATGTTTAAGGATTTACAAGGAAGTATGAGGATTTATAAGGATTTATTTCTACCAAAAAGACGTAGAAGTACAAAATTTAGGTCAATGGTTTGCCCCTCACTTTTACCATTCAATATTCCTTAACAAATTACTCGAAATCTTAACATATTGTATATACCCTTCTTACCCACTATCCGATCTATCGTAGACACACTTCGATTGGCGAACAATTTAAACTATCTTTATGATTTTGAATGGACTATATCTTTAAATAAATTTTGCATTCTAATGTTTCATTCATTCATTCATGAATCTGTATACCTAAATTATGAATTTGATTCATTGCAATTCTGAAACTTGCTCATTCTGAAACTCGCTCACTCTGATTTATTTCTATTTTCTTTCATTCTATATAATTAGTAAACTTACTATTTGTAGCAACTAACAAGTTGATAAGCAAATCTTGTGACAAACTTCCGAGGTCAATCTTTGGATAATGAATCAGCTGTACTGCCAACAAGATCCATGTCATCATTAATAACAAAATCTACATTAGTAATGGAGTCAACGTGAACAAAACAAATTATATACAATCACTGTATTTTTAACAATTGTTCATTCTAAAAAGCTTTTTTTAACACTCTTCTTTTGTTTAATAAAGTTAAATTTAATTTAAATATTACTTCCATTAGCAATTTAACGAGAGCTATTGCGACAAAATCACGAGAGCTGTTATAATTAAGGAAAACTAAAATGTACAGAAAAAGAGATTTTTTCTACGCTTATCCCTTTTGGCATTATTTTTTATACCTAATTCGTTTAAAAAATTAATTATAATACCGAAAATTAAAATATTTACTATAATAACTTACTTATTAACATTAGTCCTTGGTCTCAATGGAGCTCCTGGTTTAATTTTTGCATTCGGATATTGTGATAAATATGTCATCATCGATTGCTCATCTATATTTGGATTCACTATTTCTTCTGGTCTGATCAACTGGGGTACATTTAGCCAGTTGTCTGCAAGATTCATGGCTTCTGAGGCATTCTTCACTCCATCCCTTGAATCCCAATCCTGCAAGAAATATTAAAACCTAAATATGTCATTTAAACATCGGCTGTTTTTATTTTAAAATTATTTTAAAGGACACTGTTGATTTTTACAACCAATTGTTAGCATAAACCAATCAATGAATTGTTTTCTTCAAATTAAACTTTTATGTAACCTTGAAGCAACTGTCGCTATCTTTGCAAAAACAATTAAAATGCCATAAAAAATGATTTTATTTGTATACTGAAATACCTGCGATGATAATTCTTAATCAAAAATATTTCTAATTTTATAAAATATATATCGAAAAAAAAAATATTCTATCGCAAAGCCATGATCATCTTTTTTTCTGCAATAGAACAATCAATTGTTTGACTTGTAGCCCTCCGTCCGGTTGGGGCATAAACTTTTCGCCTCGGAATAAAAAGTACCACTTCAGTCCCTTTGTGTATAATATATTAGCTTTCTTCGGCTTACCAATTTTATAACGTTTCAGAACGATTCAGAACTGCGTGAAATTAGTTGCGCACCAAATTACACACGAAACAGTCAATCCTAGAGTGTCCTAGGACTAGATTTGGAGAAACCCGAACAGTAAATTTAAATGCGCATGATTATAATGATTTTAAACCGTCCTCAAAAGTAAGCCGAACAAAGCTACTATTATTAGTTCAAATAAATCCTTTAGTTCTCCCAAGTTAGTCTCAGTTAGAACAAAGGTCGAAGGTGGGCTGGTAGTGTGTAAATAACCCATCGGGTTTACCTTTTGACTTAAGATCGTTTTTAGTTATTAGGACAGTTTTAGCAAACAACAATTTTAGCAAACATAACAGCTGTCATTTTGTTCTAAACTAAATAAAAATTAATTCCTTACAGGCCAATCGGGACAAAGTCCAGGTGCAACTGCATCAACTAAAGCACCAACAGCTTTCCCATCGTTCCAGTCCGAGGTGAAATTCTTTATAGGTAAATCTGGAACCTTCGTTTGGATCCAGTTCATTAGCCTGCAATAAAAATAAACATCTTTTTGAGTCACCAGATCTTTTGTAAAGTGGTTAATAAGATAGTAATTCGGAAGTAATGTGTATAAAAGGAATAGATAAATACAAATTCTATAAAAAGGGCCGAAGAAGGGAAACAGATTACCTACAACAATACTGATAATAAATATAGAACAAGCAAGGTTTAAATTAAATTTCTGGTAGGTACAGAATTTTTTGAGTATGCCGCCAGACCTGATGATACACGCTATTGTTTCAATGACAGCATAATACAATTTGTATGAAATGTATGACTTTTTACATACGAGATTGGACAATTGAAATAATTACCTTTGTTTCGGTGTGGGTTCCGTACCACCATTGTTTAAATCGTCTTCTCCCTCCCACATTGGCAAGGATATTGAATAGTGTAAAATTAACGTCCATATTAATCCTAATATTAATTTTAGTTTACAATCTACTATGTGACTCGAATCTGAAAAGAACAGAGAAAAATAATTAGTTACTAATTAATTTATAATTATGCTTTTTGTTTGGTAAACATCTCAATCAGGCGCAAAAATTAACAGAGAAGGCCAACTTGTTAATATTGTTACTCACTGCTAAGTATTTCATTTTGTACATCTTTTCAGATGTATATTATATAAATTTAAACTTATTATAATGTTACAAATTATACATAAAATGGATAAAAATAGGAGTGAAGACAAAGAAGAAATTTATAATAGAAGACAAAGAAGAGATGATATGAAAAATGGAAGAAAAGAAATTGGAAGAGTTAGTAAAAGAAATAATCATTGAAGAAACAAAGAAAAGGAAAGAAGACACATTTAAATCAGAAGAAGATAAAAAAGGAAAATAAAACTGTAGAAATAAATGAAGAATAAATAAATACAAGAAAAGGCTATAAAAATAAAACGAAAAGAGATAAACGAAAGGAAATAAATAAAAAATAAGTATTAATAAACAAAATAAAATTAAAATTAAAGAATTAAAAAAGAGATTGAGAAAGAAATTAATGATAAATAGAAAACAAATTAAAGAGAAGAACAGAAAACAAGATAATAAAGATAAAAGGAAAATAAATGGAAAAAAGAAAGTAAGAAAAAAGATAGAAAGAAAAAATAAAGTTAGTGTAAAAACAAAATGTTGAAGATATAAGACAAATAAAATATAAAGAAGAATTGGACAAGATAATAAAGAATAGAAGATTGACAGAATAGGAAAGAGTGAGGATGAAGGTGAAGGAAAATTAGTAAAATTTAGATAGCGGACGGAAATTTAGAATTTTAAAACTAGCTTAGAACATGGAAATATAATAGATAAAGAGAATAAAACAGAAATAGATAAGTCACTAGTAAGTGTGAGAGAGTGTGAGATAAGACATAGAATATGAAAGTGGAAATGAAGACAATATCGGTAATAATAGTTAGGAAAATATAGTAAAAAAAGAGAATTGATAGTTTTATTTAAAAAGCAAAGATTTTATGCATTAGAAGAGTAGTTTAGAGGAGAAATAATTAAAATGAAGGAGAATATTATGATTTGTATGAATGATGTGTATAATAAATGCGGTGTCTAAATAATGAGTCGTAAAGTGAATTATTGTGGTACATTAATGAATAATATTTAAAATAACATACTGTATAATGAGAAAATGAAGATGAGAAAATGTATAAAATGGGAAGCAGATTTTAAAGAAGAAATGAGAAGGATATTCTGAGATGAAAAAGAAAGATGAATAAAAGAAATACATTAGAAAGATTATAAATTAAAGTATATAGGAAATGAGAGAATAAAGGGATATTTAGAATATAAAATAGGGATAAATATGAGTATAAGTGTGAGATGGTAGTTAAAATAGTTATCATAGTTTTAATAGACAGTTACAATAGTTATAAATAGTTTTGAAATGTTATAAGTTATAGTATTAGTTATTTTATTGTTTGAATGAATAAAAAATGAGCAAAAATCAACAATTGAAGAAGGAAAATATAAACAGTCACAACTTCTTGGAATATTTTTTATTTACATGCCTCTATTTGTATTTTTATTAAAAAAATCTATTTTATTATGGTAAATAAACTGTTTTATTATTATTATTGCTATTTATAGTTACAATTCTGTTTTGAAAATTTAAATTTAAATTAATTTAATGAACAATGAACAATGAATTTGGGGAAATTGATATAGAAAACTTTCACGTCAACAAAATTTATTAACTATCCTGGAGTGGTGAAGTTTTAGAGAATGAACCAGGGGCTAGTAGATTAGATTATATTAGATTGGGAGTTGGACGTTATTTGTCCTTGTCCACCGTGACCTTTTCAGATCTATTGTGGGACTCCGTTTATTTTATAGTATGTCGTCTAGCCTGGTCTTTTTTATTAGACTTACTAGCTTTGACAGTGGCTCCAGCATGTAGTTGCATGCATTTGGCTTTTCTTCGCCCAATGTTAGAAACCTCATTCCAGCCAGGCCTTCACATTGGCACAGGATGTGGAATGATGTTTCCTCTTCTTCTTCACAGAACCTGCACAAAGTTGCTTCTTCTGCTGGATTGATGACACTCATGTGCTTTTAAAGGCGATAGTGTCCGGTAAGAAGACCTACTGTTATCCTAACGATTTGACGCTTTTGATCCAGTAGGTCTTTCATGAACTTGGCTGATGGTTCCTTGATGAACTGTTTAGCCTGTCTCAGTCTTGGATAGTTATTCCACCATTCCTGAGACTCTTTTTGCATCCATTTTTTGATGGATGCCTTGCACAATGCCTTAGCAACTCCACAGAAGAGTTCGGGGCCTGTCATGGCCTTATCTGAGCCTTCTCGGGATACTTCGTCGGCCTTTTCGTTGCTCTGATATCCCTCATAATCTGGCACCCAGGCTAGGGTCACCTTGTTTTGACTACTTAGCTCTGTCAGGTCTTCTAGGCAGTCTTTTACCAGTCGTGATTTGATTTCTGGGGAGAGAATTGCCTTTAGAGCTATCAGAGTATATGGCAATAGTTTTGCCTGATACTTGCTGATTTAGTATTTCTCTTGTACATTGTTGTATGGCTATTAGTTCAGCCTGAAACACTGTTGCATATTTTCCTAAACTCAGCGAAATCGTTGTTTTCGACTTGGGTCCATAGATTACAGCACCGGCTCCTTCCTTGGTTTTTGTCTCGTCTGTGTACCAGACGAGTACGGCAGGTCCCTGTTTCCAGGATTCTCGGGCTGGTATTTGAATTTGAAAATTTCTTTCAAAATTGTATAAGATTATGGCTCTATCAGTAGGCATAGCTAGAATATTATCCCTTTTTACTTGTGTGGTCGGCGCTACGTAGTTGACTTATTGGGTTTTGTCCCTGCATTAGCCTGTGAATAGCTGAACTGAAAAACTAAAAGTGTTGTACGAATAACTCAATAAAAAATTTATCTAATGAAGAAATACTCTTCAACCTAACTAGTGGACCCAATAAGCATATTTTATCCACATTCAAATTCGTCTTGATACTAAAAGGACAAGACTTCAACTTCAATTTTTTGCCACTCCAAGTCGCAAAACTTTTATAAAGGTCTTGAGCGGTATACATGCTGATTTTGTTACAGAAAACATTTTTGGTAGGTTTGTTTTATAAATATTTCATTATTTAAATGGTTTAAATACATATTTGTCTGAGCATTTCCATGTTTAAATAGACAAATTATACAGGGTGACATACCAAAAACTTCCCACCCTGAATATCTTCCAGTAAATAATATAAAAAATCGCAAAAACCCACGAATTTTATTTTCAAAGGGACACCTACAATGAATACTTTTAACATTCGTCGCTCAACCTCCTAGGAGGGGTAGATGTTACTCTTAAAATGTTAAATGGGAAAGAAGGTCGAATGGCACAACATTTTAAAGGACATTTAATGATCTTTCCAATGATACCCTAATTTATTATCTTCTGACCAGCAGGTTCCGAAAAATTGCTTTTTAAAGTTACAGAAATTGGAACGTGCCTGCACTAAGATTCTCGGTTTTCATGTTAATATTTAAACAATAATTATTGTATTGGGTATCCTTTTAGCAGGAATGGTTAAAAGATTAGGTGGCACCAAAATTTTACATTTAAAAGTAAAATTTCGATTGCAATTAGACTGCATTTATCAAATGGCGGTTTTTAATCCTTATCGTTGAAATTCCACAAATAGCCTGTTTTTTTTCCTATTTGTATTTTTTTAAATCTTGAAATAGTGGGTTTTTGTCAAGTTACATAATTGTTTGACAAATTTTGACCAATTAGTATTAGTATTGTTAATTCAGGTTTATTTGTTGGGCTGTTCAGAGATACCGTTAATTAAGTGAATAAACTGCAAAAATGGTCTACTCTCTACAGGAAAGAATCGAAATGATTTTCGTTTATGCGCACGAAAAGCAGCATTTCTTTTTAATGAAAGAAATCCTAATCGTAAGTCACAGTGTCACAGGTATATTTTCGATTTGGTAGCAAAAGTTTTTGGAAACTGGTTCGGTGAAAAATATGAAAAGAAATAACCGACGAGTACTAAATGAAGAATCTCAAATTGAGGTATTGGGAACATTTGTTGCAGTGCCAACTAGCTCCATACGAAGAGTAGCAGAACAGACGGGGATATTACGCGAGACTGTAAGAAGAGCACTGAAAACGCATACATTTCATCCCTATAAAATGCAGATACTTCGAGAGCTCTCACTTCGCCTGAAGCACGAACAGGTTGACCCAAAATGCCAATGAAAACGAAAAACGGCGTTTCGTTGGCGGTTAATAGTACATTAAAAGCCCGCTTGAATGAAAATCCTAGCTGATCCTTTTTTTAAGATAAGTGGATTTTCACTTTTTCATAATTTTTCATCATAATTAACTCGGGAACGCCCAATCCACCAAAATTTTCCACCCCATGCGATGGTAGTTACAGCTCTTGAGAGTGATCGTTTTTACCCTTGAGAGGCTTTTTTCACGAGAAAATCGGTCAAACTGAGGCTTTTCGAGTGTGTTTTAAAGTGGTATCCGCTGAAGGCGTAATCCACTGCGAAAATAAAAATGAAAACGAAAATAAAAATAATAATGAAATGAAAACTACTGAGGCATGTTTTTATAAATGCTGTGAAGAAAAAGTCCGCTTGAATAAAAATCCTAGCTGATCCTTTCTTCAAGATGGGTGGATTTCCGCTTTTTCGTAATTTTTCACCATAATTGAACGATATTGTTTCTTGGCGGTGCTATTATTGAAGCATGCAAGTGTGTATGTGTGTGTACGCGCGCGTGTGTGTGTGTGTGTGTGTGTGTGTGTGTGTGTGTGTGTGTGTGTGTGTGTGTGTGTGTGTACCCGTGTGTGTGCGCATATGTGTGTGTTTTTGTTCGTGTCCATATACGTGATCAAGCGCCAAGCTCGCTCTATCGATCAATCAAATAACAGAAAATTAGTTATAAAAATCACCGCTATGCAGCGCATGGTAC